TGATTTTTTGGAGTTGATCTTGTATCCTGCCACATTACTAAAGCTGTTTATCAGCTGTATAAGTTCTTTGGTGGAGTTTTGGGGGTCGCTTATGTACACTATCATATCATCTGCAAATAACGAAAGTTTAACTTCTTCCTTTCCAATTCGAATCCCCTTGATCCCATTATGTTGTCTTATTGCTATTGCTAGAACTTCAAGCACTATATTGAAGAGGTATGGTGAGAGTGGACAGCCTTGCCTTGTTCCTGAGTTAAGCGGGATGGCTTTGAGTTTCTCTCCGTTTAATTTGATGTTAGCTGTCGGCTTGCTGTATATAGCTTTTATTATATTTAGGTATGACCCTTGTATCCCTAATCTCTCCAAGACTTTTAACATAAATGGATGTTGAATTTTGTCAAATGCTTTTTCAGCATCTAATGAAATGATCATATGGTTTTTTTTCTTTCAGTTTATTTATATGCTGGATTACATTGATAGATTTTCGTATGTTGAACCAGCCCTGCATCTGAGGAATGAAGCCTACTTGATCATAATGGATAATTTTTCGGATGTGTTCTTGGATTCGATTTGCCAGTATTTTGTTGAGGATTTTTGCGTCGATATTCATGAGTGAGATTGGCCTGTAGTTCTCTTTCCTGGTTGAGTCTTTGAGTGGTTTTGGTATCAGAGTAATTGTGGCTTCATAAAAGGAATTTGGTAATGACCCTTCTGATTCTATATTGTGGAATACATTAAGGAGTATAGGTATTAGGTCTTCTTGGAAGTTCTGGTAGAATTCTGCATTGAAACCATCTGGTCCTGGGCTTTTTTTGGTAGGGAGGTTTTTGATAACAGCTTCCAATTCTTCGCGACTTACAGGTCTGTTTAGATTGTTCACCTGGTCCTGGTTTAGTTTTGGTAAATGGTATTTATCTAAAAAAGCGTCCATTTCTTTTACATTTTCCAGTTTTGTGGCATATAGGCTTTTGTAGTAAGATCTAATGACTCTCTGAATTTCCTCTGTGTCTGTGGTTATGTCCCCCTTTTCATTTCTGATCTTATTAATTTGCAAATTCTCTCTCTGCCGTTTGATTAGTTTGGATAGGGGTTTACCAGTGGTTGTTAACTCCGGTCACTTTTTAAGTAGTAGGGTTTGTGTGTTTTCCTTCTTTGATTTGCGCTGGTGAAGAGTCTCTAGATGTCTGAGTTCTTGTGGTCATTGTTGGACTCCTTGGTTAGTGATTTTCCTTCTATTATTTTCTGTAAGGCTGGATTTGTGGCTACGTATTGTTTAAATTTGTTTTTATCCTGGAAAATTTTGTTTTCTCCATTTATAGTGAATGAAAGTTTGGCTGGATATAGTAGTCTGGGCTTGCATCCGTGGTCTCTTAGTTTTTGGAGAACATCTATCCAGGACCTTCTGGCTTTCATGGTTTCCATAGAGAAGTCAGGTGTAAGTCTGATAGGTTTACCTTTATAAGTAACTTGGCCTTTTTCCTTTGCGGCTCTTAATATTCTTTCTTTATTCTGTATATTTTGTGTTTTGATTATTATATGGCGAGGGGATGTTTTCTTTTGATCCAGCCTATTTGGTGTTCTGTATGCTTCTTGAACCTTCATAGGTACATCTGTCTTCAGGTTGGGAAAGTTTTCTTCTATAATTTTATTAAGTATATTTTCTGTACCGTTGAGCTGCACTTCTTCTCCTTCTTCTACTCCAATTATTCTTAGGTTTGGTCTTTTTATTGTATCCCATATTTCCTGAATGTTTTGTGATGAGAGTTTGTTGGACTTGCTGTTTTCTTTGATCAGAGTGTTTATTTTCTCTATGTTATCCTCAGAATCTGAGATTCTTTCTTCTATCTCTTGTATTCTGCTGGTTATACTTGATTCTGTAGTCTCTATTCGTTTACCTAGGTTTTCCATGTCCAGTCGGCCCTCTGTTTGTGTTTTCTTCTTTGCCTCCATTTCAGTTTTCAAGTCATGAACTGTTTCCTTTATCTGCTTGATTATTTTTCCGTGGTTTCCTAGGGTATCATTCACTGATTTACTCAATTCCTCGAACTTTCTATTATACTTCTCATCCATTTCTATAAGGGCGTTTTTTATATGCTGTTTAAGGGTGTCAATCACTTTCATGAAGTCAGTTTTTTCTACTTCTTCTTGATTAAGGTGTTCATGTCCTCCTGTTGTGGGGTCACTGGCTTCTGGTGGTTTCGTGTTGTTTTTCAGATTGTTGGGAGAATTCCTGCATTGGCGTCTGCCCATCTCTTCCTCCCAATACTCCCCTTTGTATCTTCTTTTATAGGATCAGGTCTTCTTGCCCACTGATGTACCTTCCCAGTGATGTCACTCCCCAGAGATGTTTCTCCACAATGATGTTTCACTCGGTGCCCCGAACGAAACTCCACCTGCTTGGTTAGCTCGCGAACAAAGGGCCCACCCCGCTCGCTGCGGGCAGGCTATGGGAACAAAGGAGCTATCGGCCACCCCTATGTCCTCCCGGTTCAGATTCGGTCCCAGCGCCCTAGCAGGCTGGGCAGGGAGGCGCTATGCCCCAAAGGAGGGAGGGAGACAGGGGGTGTGGGGATCTGGATGTAAGCTGAGTGGGATAGGAAGAGAGAGGGGGTTTGGGCAGTATAGCCCCTGTAGGATGGCCAGGAAGTGTGGGTGGGCTGAGGTATGATCCCAGCTGCCGCAGCACTCACTCCCCACAATGATGTTTCACTCGGTGCCCAGATCGAAACTCTGTGCTGCTTGGTTAGCTCGCGAACAAAGGGCCCACCCCGCTCGCTGCGGGCAGGCTATGGGAACAAAAGAGCTACCGGCCACCCCTATGTCCTCCCGGTTCAGATTTGGTCCCAGCGCCCTAGCAGGCTGGGCAGGGAGGCGCTATGCCCCAAAGGAGGGAGGGAGACAGGGGGTGTGGGGATCTGGATGTAAGCTGAGTGGGATAGGAAGAGAGAGGGGGTTTGGGCAGTATAGCCCCTGTAGGATGGCCAGGAAGTGTGGGTGGGCTGAGGTATGATCCCAGCTGCCGCAGCACTCACTCACCACAATGATGTTTCACTCGGTGCCCAGATCGAAACTCTGCCTCCATTTTATTTTTTATTTAATTAAAATATAATTATATTATTTCTTCCTTCTGCCCCCCACTCCTTCCCACATTCATGAGGCCTCCCCATTTTGAGCCATTGTTGTTGCATATACATTAAAGAAATAAATATTTAAATATAACACACTGAGTTCATTCACTGTTGCCTGCATGTGTATGTTTCTAGGGCTGACCAATTGGTTTTGGATAACCAATCAGGGGGCTCATCCCTGGGGAAGAATAATTTTTCTTCTATCAGCAGTTGTTAATTTTTTGGAGCTCTTCATCTAGGGTTGGGGCCATAGAAGAGTTCACTCATTTATATTGGGATATCAATTGTTGGAATTATTTAGGTCTTCTTTAGTCAGCCATGTTGAAACTTCCATGGATACAACTTTCTTGTCAGAGATAGAAGGAATAATCTTACAGCAGACTTCCTGGTCTTCTGGCTCTTATAAAATTTCCAGTCCCCTTTCCCATGATGTTTCATGAGCCTTACGTGCAAGAGTTGTGTTGTAGATGTGTCAATTGGGACTGATCACACCCTGGTCAACTGTTCTCTGAATAGTTGTTTTAACTAGTTGTAGTAATACCCTCATTCACTATTGGTAGGACTACAAACTGATGAAGCCGCCATTTAAATCAGAGTGGAAAATTCCCAAAAAGCTAAAAGTAGATATACCATATGACCAAGCTAATTCCACTCCTTGACATATGCCCAAATAATTCAAGTCCCTACTTACTCCATACATACTTGCTCTGTCATGTTCACTGCCACTCTGTCCCTAGTAGCTAGGAAACGGAAACAAGGCTTAAAACTGGAAACATCCTTCAACTGATGAGTGGGTAGTGAAAGTGGAGTATTTACACCATGGGATTCCACTCAGTTGTAAAGAAGAATGAAATTTTGAAATTTGCTGGTGAATGGATAGAACTAGAACATATGATACTGAGTGAAGTAACCCAGACCCCGAAAGACAAACATTACATGTTTTTTTTTCTCATTTCTGATTCTTAGCTCTGAATTTATCCATTTTAATATATGAGACATACCTTCTAAAAGCTAGAATTCAGATCGTAATGCCAGGATTGTTCTAATAAATGTCATCTTGTGGTTTTTATTGTTGTTCTTTTATTTTGATTTTTGTGTTGAGAAAGGATCTTACTATGTAGTCTCGACTGGGCTGGAACTCACAGAGATCTTTTTGTCTGTATACTCCCACTCACAAGATCATCTTGTTTTTTAAGGGTCAATCCTAAAAACAGCAGCTTGCTGTTGTGGCTGGATTGTCGACTTAAGTTTTTTTCAGTTTATTTTTTCCATGATAAACATAAATTTTATATTTGGATAAAATACTTTCACATTTTAAAGATGAATTCTAATAGAATTGCAAAAGCTATATGAATCTAGCTCTAACTTAGGGAGCATGACCTAAGGTGTTTATAAACATCTGAAGCCCACAATTTGAACCCCGTCGTCTTCCTTAATATTTTTAGGGGCTGGGTTGAGCTTTTTCATCTTTCAACCTATTCATAATTTAGCAACAAGCTAAGTTGGTCAAACTTTTCTAAAGGAGCTTGCCAAAAGCATCTTGCAGAGATTTCACAGTATCAATGTTAAAACTGGATGTGATGGCAGGCACCTGCAATTCCAGCAGGAGAGTTCTCAGTTGAAGGGCAGCCTGGGCTATATAATAAGACTGTCAAAGCAAAAGTGTATGGGCATCAGTTTTGACTTTGCCATGAGGAAAATGGCCAAATTCCAAGAAGCTCTGTCTTCTGTCCCTTTTCCCCTGATCAGAATTTGTTCTGAAAGGTATAATTATACTATGGTCATGGACTTCATAAGGACTTTTATACTAACTCATTTTAGAGAAGAGAACTGTTCACTATTACAATTATCCATTCTCTGCTCAATCCACAGGCAACTGGCTAAGAGTCTTGGGCAGGCTGGTGAAATCGAGCCTGAAACAGAAGGGATCCTGACAGAATATGGTGTGGACTTCTCTGATTTTTCTTCAGAAGTTCTTGAATGTCTCCCTCAGAGCCTACCCTGGACAATTCCACCTGATGAGTTATCCAAGAGAAAAGACCTAAGGTAAACATGGGGAACACTTGGGAACAGGTGTTCCTGCTCTGTCTTCTCCCCCAGTGTGTCTTGGGGTTGGCCTAATATGTTTCCTTCTTTGTCTGATATTTGGATTCAGTTGCAAATCTAGTGCTTCTGCGCCAGAGGTCAGCAAGTCGTGGATTACCATCTAAATCCAGCCTGCTGCTTGAACTCATTAGCTGAAGATGGATTTCAGACTTTTTAATGGTTTCAAAAATTACAGTAATAGTTAATAGTTAGGAATAGTTATTTTCCTAAAATGATATGACATTCATAATTCCTTATTCATCCAGGTTGTAGTAGAGCACAACTATGCTTGCTTCTTTGAATCACCCATTCTTCATGATAACTTTAAAGAAATTCCAACATTAGTGTGACCTAAAAATATTGACCCTCTGGCTTTTTGCAAAAGTTTTGCTTCTTCAATGGTTTTAGACAGTTCTGATTTATAAAGATGCAGGTGCCCTTTCCTAGTCTCTTCTTCTTGCTGGACCCCAAATTCTCCTTTCAAAAAAGGCAATGTTATCTGCTTAGAAGTGCTTCCTCTAAATGGGCCTCTCTAGGCACATAGCAGAGGATTCAAGACCTTGTGCTTGGAGTCTCATTTTAAAGCTTTACTTTTAGGTCTGGAATTTATTGGAAAGTACTTTTGTGGTATTTTTATAACAACATCTTCTTTGAAGATGTTTCTTCATTGTGGGATGTTAGTTCTTTTCTGATATTTCTCTTCAGAATTTGGTTTCAGTACTGGCATTCATTCTGGATGCCACATGGAGATACTTAGAACCAAGAAAGTTTTCATACAACCCACCACGGAGGCTATGGAAGGTTTTGCTAAGGTTATCCCGTGTCAGAGTCTTTCCACCACACTTGCTTGGTCTGTAGCTGAACTTATGGTGCCTTCAGCTCCAAGTGTCTGGTGCTCTACTGACTTTGAGGAATGAATGAATTGTATCTTTTTGGAACTTACTTACTGTCTTTTTTGCTTTTCTTGCTGAGAGTATGTGAGAAAAATAAGAGTCCTTTCCTACTTGTCAGTATGACAGATGGAAATACATGTTGTATTCAAACTCATTTGGTCCAAATGTAGTCCTAGATGTTAGTACTAGATGTTAGTAATAATCTACACACCTGAGTTATTGCTGGTGCATAGGACGTTATCTCCTCTGGGGCATTTGAACCTGAACCCTTGGGAACCTTTGTTGCTTCATGTACAATTGAAAGGTTTACTGAGATCTAGTATTGAATTAGACTATATAAGAACTTTAATGAAGCCAAATGTGATGACGCAGTTTTAATCTCAGCATTTGGGAGAGTGAGACAGGAGATCCAAGCTGTGCCACAGTGAGTTCTGTATGGGCTCCACAATAAGATCCTATTTTTAGTAAGATCCTTGAGTCTTGTGTATTATGAAAATATATTATATTTATGAAGGAAATTGTCAAAGAATAAAAACCATAAGCAAAATGCTAAAGCCAAACAAAAGGGAAAAGTAATAAGAAACGATTAAATCCTGATAATAGTTTATTTTTATTTGAAGTATAATTTAGTGCTGATTCTATTTTAAATGTACCCTTTTCTCTCAAACTCTACTTACGGAAATGTATCCTACAGAGATAAGTATACAAAGATTTATGAGCAAAGATTTTCATTGTTTTATCATAAAGGGAAATAGACATTGCTAAGTCCATCAGTAATGGAATAGCTTAACAATCTATGATCTATATGTCCATATGATAACATGACCTCCAGCTCTGCAAAAAAAAAAAAAAGGAATGGATCCATATGGTCTGTCCTAGAGGGAAGACTATCAAATATTGTTAAATGAAAGAAGCATAAAAAAAGAAAGAAGCAAACCACAGGTCAATATGAATATGATCCTATTTTTGTGAAATAAGTTACCCAGAGCTATATAAGTACACACACACAAAACATTACATCTATATGTATATACATATATGCACATTAAAAGTGTGTATATATAGAAATTGATGTGGAAGAAAGTAAACCAAACTGACCACATACATGACTAACGTGGGAAACTGGCTCAGGGGAGCAGTAAGAAGGCAGGAAGCTATATTATACTTCACTGAGCATACTATTCCATTGCTAAAAATCTTTAAAATAACTTCAAGAAATCATGAATACAAATGTCAGAAGATAGATAGATTCATTTCTTTCTGGCCTGATTGTAGTTTGCAGAAAAATATTAAACATGTTAGTGGCCACAGGGTCTTAGAGCTGTGTCATGTTATCCTTTTATGGCTCCATCTTGCTGTTGGTTTGGCCCTCATTGTCTTCTGTACTGAGCTACAGAATATACCTTGCTCTGCAGAAAGCTTCTGTTAAAGTCTAACTGTGTGCAGTGAGAAGGGGCCCAGAAGTAGAAGACCTTTGTGGATACACTCTGCTGTTATTGTAGTAACAGATGTTTAACTTTCCAGTGTTTTCACTGTATCTGTTCCAAGATTATGTTTCTAAACTTCACATCAGACTTATTTATTCTTTTACATTTAAAAATTTTCAATGGCTTCTTGATATATAAAATTGTCATTTCTAAGCATTGGTAAACATTTATTTCCACTAATGCATGTCTTTTTAAAATTATACAAAATTGATGTATTACTAATTTGTTACTTATATAGACCTGAGCAAAAAAAGAAAAATAAAAATGAAATGAATTTTAATATTTTTATGGAAGGTACTAAAAAACCCTGTTTCTTCATATTGATAATTTTATCTTGGGTGAAAGCAGTTCAACTGGGTATTATTGTTTTTTTTTTAAAGTTTGCTTTAATAACTTATAGTATGGAAATTTCAATATCTGATTATAAGTACTGTATGTTTTGTTTGTTTAGACAGTGTCTCAATATGTAGCTGTGGTTGGCCTGGAACATGTTATGTTCTACAAGAAACTCACAGAAATTCTCCTGCCTCTCTCTCCCAGTTGAAACTAAAAGCATATGCCACCATGGCTGACCTAGTTCTGTCTGTATTGACACTTTATTTTAATGATCACCATAAGTACATAGATAGATAGATAGATAGATAGATAGGTAGGTAGAGGCATACAGATAGGTACTCAACTACTGAGCTTATTCCTATTTAAAAAGATAAAAGTATTTTTAAAGATGTGAGTTGTATTTACTAAACTATAATACTTATTTTTTAGGGTCTATTCAACAATTGCATCAATTTTCTTTGAAACACAGATCATAAATCTCTGTCTTTCCTGTTTCAGTTCTTGTGGACTGGTTGAAAAGTGCTGCATTTTTAGCTCTTAGGTTTGTTCTCTTTGTCTTTTAAGGCATAGTCTCACTCTGAAGCTTAAACTGAAGTCCCCCTGCCTCAGCCTTCCAAATGCTAGGGTTACAGGCATGTACCATCCTATTCAGTATTATACATTTTTTAAAAGGCTCGTAATCCTCAGCAAACTCTTTCAGTGACATCGTAAAAGCTAGTTGTGAAGTTCTGGTATGTAGTTTGTGTGTGTACATTGAGCAATTTAGTAGTTTGTACATAGACAATTTTAGGCTCTAAATAATATGATAGTAGAAGCATTTCAGTACGTCCGGGAAAAAGATCTAGATGTGGAAGGCTCTGGGTTTGATCCTGACACTGCAAAACAAAAACAAAACAAAACTAAACTAAAACAACAACAGAAAACAAATCAAAACTTTAATGTTTCGTTAAATATAAACATAGTATTTTGTTTTCAAATTCAATAACCTATTTTGTGTCTTAAGAGCTCAGTCCGGTGCTCCTATTTGGGTCTCTGTCTCCATCTCGATCCATCGCCAGATGAAGGTTCTAAGATGATATGCAAGATATTCATCAGTATGGCTATAGGATAGGGTCATTTCAGGTTCCCTATCCTCAGTTGCCCAAGGTACTATCTGGGGACATCTCCCTGGACACCTGCGAGCCCCTCTAGAGTCAAGTCTCTTGCCAACCCTAAGGTGGCTCCCTTAATTAGGATATATATTTCTCTGCTCCTGTGTCCACCCTTCCTTTATCCCAACCATCCCATTCCCCCAAGCTCCCCCAATCCTCCCTTTCTCACGTTTCTCACCCCAATTCCCCTTAGCCCCATGCCACCTCACCCCCATGAGGAGCAGAAGGAGTGAGAACATGAGCAAGGAAGTCAGGACCACGAGGGGTGCACCCACCCACTGTGACAGTGGAACTGATCTTTTGGGAGCTCACCAAGGCCAGCGGGACTGGGACTGAATAAGCATGGGATGAAACTGCTTTCTGAACATGGCGGACAATGAAGGCTGATGAGAAGCCAAGGACAATGGCACTAGATTTCGATCCTAATACATGAACTGGCTTTGTGGGAGCCTAGCCTGTGTGGATGCTCACCCTCCTAGACCTGGATAGAAGTGGGAGGACCTTGGCCTTCCCGTAGGGCAGGGAATCTGGACTGCTCTTCATTCTCGAGAGGGAGGGGGAATGGAGTGGGAGGGAGGGGGAGAGGAGGACAGGAGTGCGGGGAGGGGCAATGTGTGGGAGGAGGGGGAGGGAAATGGGAAATGGGGAGAAGGCGGAAATGAATCTTCTCCCTCAGGCTCATGAATGAAATATATCAAGGACATGAATGAAATATATCAAGCAATAGTCAAATACTTAAAGTATTTAAGTAATTTGATAAATTTCATGGAGAGAAGTAGTTGGAGTAAGTATTTGTAATAGTGTGATACATTCTTCTTTGAGATTCCCATATCTTCATAGGCATTTTAAAAGCAGTGTTCATTGTTCTGAATTTGACCAAAGAACTTAGATTGAGTCCTAATGCATCCTGGAAAGTGTCATATATTAAATAAATAAGTAGATATTCTCCAAAATTCCAAAGCCACTCTTCTGTGTCTTTTTTCCTCCTTTTCTGTTGAAACATTTTGTCTTGAAATTTTATTTTATAAGTATATTTTGTATGTATGTAACATATATATACATACACACTATATGTGCATATATATGTGCATATG